GTGGCGCAGAAGCCGGTGATGGGTTTGGTAGGGTGGCGGTGACAGGTGGAGAGGCGGTGAGTTTGGCGGTGTAGGGCCGTGGCTTTTTTAGGGTTGCAGAAGTCAGTGATGGGTTTTGTTGCATCCATGAATTTCTATTTCGACAACTCTAGCCAGCCGCCACCACACTCCTCACTCCTCGACGACCGCCACAGAACCGTAGCACCGTTGGTGGGTGCAAAGTGCTAGCAAAGGTGGATATGGCTGGGGAAGGCACGAATGGGTCTTGGGTAGAATAGAAAGAGAGAGGGCAGAAGGGGAGAGGCGGAGGTGAAGGGGGTAGGGTGGGTGGGTCTCACTCCTTTGTTTATAAAATATATATATTTTCATTTTTATGTCATTTTATTTTATTTAAAAGTATTTAATTATTTTTAACATATGAAATGACCAATTTGCCCTCATATTTGACGGATTATTGGATGACATGTTGTTGATTTAGACGGTAAGGGGGGAATTGAGAATAAAATTTAATTCGAGCCCTTAATTCGCTAAAAAAAAAGGTTAGGGGGTAAATTGATAATTAGGTACAAGTTCAAGGGGTATTTCGGCAGTTTACCCGACTGAACACTTAAAAGGACCAATTTGCCCCTCATTTTGATGAACAGAAGTTACTCTAAAACTTTTGTTACAAACGAATGTGGAGTTGAGGGACTATGGAAGCTATTTTGAAAGTTGAGGGAGCTCAAGTGAGTACAAAGTTTAGGGACCATAGCTCCTAAAAGCCGTTAGAAAAATCCAGTAGGTTTTACAACTTAGGTCTCTAGTGAGGACGGGGGATGTTCTATTAAAGGCAAGGTTCCTTTTGATCGCACCAACAATCGAACCATAATATGTAAAGCTGCTTACTTAATCCTCTAGAGCTGAGTCCGTTTTTATTTTTTATTTTTTTTTATACCTCTTATAAATAAATATTATAGCCTTTTCCAAGGAAAAAAGCATTAAAATACCACAACTAGATATGCTTGCATAGACTTAATCAAGCGACCGTTTGATGTGTGAAAAAGGAAAGGTGAAAAAGCTAAAAGAGATTTTTTTTAAAGTTGCTATTATTATGTTATATACAATAAGTTCAAAGTGCCACTGGTTTGAGATTAATTAAAGAAAGAAAAAGAAGAAACAACATGCAAAACAAAAGGCTTTTATATAATATTGTTTTCTCAAAAGCTAAATGTTGGAATATGGATATCTCAAAATCTCCAAATAAAATTCAGTTGTCTATCCTTTAATTTTAATTTTTTGTGGAATGCTTGCTAGATTCCTCTTTGTAGATTCTCCCATCAAGTTTGTGTCATGCAACTGATCAATTGTATGATGGAAACCATACTTGTTGATCACCCTTTAAAGATCATCATCTCTACCAAAAAGAAAAAGAAAAACCAACCAGATCGAAAATCATTTGGTTATTCAACTATTTGTCAAATAATAGATGAATCTGGTGTTATGTTTCAACATTGAATTTAGTATAATATTATGAACAAGAAAATAATAATGTGTAAGGGGCTTGTAGCTCAAGTGGTTAAAAGTATTTATCTATGCACTAGAGGTCTTAGGTTTGATCCACCCCTCCCCCAGTATCGCTTGTATAAAAAAATTATAAAATAAAACAATAATTCATATAGCTTATTACAGAATTTCGTATAAGAATGTGGAAATGCAATCATGCAATATAAAGCATGCAAACGGGGCCTCCTTAATGGTGTGATTTATTAGTGAATATACTCCAACTTGCGTTAATGTATATAAAAGAATTGACGAGTCATGGATAATTGCACCGTGACAAATGCTTTATGAAAGCAGCTTTTTGATAAGAATATATATAATAATTTAGGGCTCGTTTGGGAGTGCTTTTGGAGCAGCGAAAAGCGCTTCTAAATATGGGTGAAAGCGCTTCTATCTTTTAAAAATGGTGTTTGGCAAAAATTGCCAAAGCGCTTTGGGTGAGATCCAAAAGCACTTGGAGTGGTTTTGGAAGAAGCACTTGAGAGGTGCTTCTTCATAAAAGCGTTGCAGGACAAAAATACGGGAAGCACTTGACTCTCTTTAATGAAACTTTTAAAATACCGAAAATACCCATATTTAATTTTGTTAAATGCCAAAATACCATTTCCTACAATCCAGTCTAATGCAATTATAGGCATCAAACCAGGAAATACACTCCAAAACTATAACTTCCCACAGTAGCTCTTTTGTTCATTCACATAGGAGTTGCTTTTAGTTAGTTTTGGAAAGTCCTTCATTAATTTTTGGGAGTTTCACTAAAATACCCAAAATGGGGGCTGAAATTTTAAAAATACCCAACACCCAAAACACTTTATAAATATCCCCAAAACTCATCATTACACACACTCAAAACCCATTTATAAACATAACCAAAACCCATCATTACACACATACCCAAAACCCATTTTGGGTATGTTTCTATGTTTAAATAGTGCTTGGGTATTTTTATAAATACATGTCTAGAATTGGGTATTTTTATAAATATCTATTAATTTTTTTGGACGTACGCATATAATTTCGAAATGTCAAGTTTCAGAGAACCATCATGTTAACAAAGGCCAGATTAATCCTCAAGTCATGCAGATAACGGAAAGGATTGAGGAGGGAGTAGCTTGACATGTGCTAAGCCAAGAACACGAAAATTCAACTTCTGCAGATTTGAGGTTGCTTTCTCCAATTTGTGCCCATAATGCACCACTTCGAAACGAATGGCTAGACAAGTCAAACTCACCGTTTTGCTAAGAGCTTTTATTTTTTCTCGCTCTTTATGCATAATTTCACATTTTGCTAGGTGAAAGTTTCGATTTTTGTTATTTTCATATTTTGGTTTGAGGTTAATTAGCTTCATTTTTAAGTTTGTTGTTCATATTTTCAGAGAGCAAGATTTTGAGGTTTCTATTAATTTTCTAGGAGGATTCCAGCTTTCATGTTCTAGGATTAACACTTGTTTCCCCTTATTCCGCAGTGTTATTTAGTAATAAAATGTATAGAGAGGTCACCATGGTAAACACATTGAAGCAAGAATCTAATAAGGAAGCAAATACAGAGTGAAGAGAGAGAAAAGAGAGAACTAATTGTCAATCTACATCGAACCAGACAACTAGCAAGCTAGTCAACTAGAAAGGTGAAAGCATGATCACAATCAATGAAACAGAAGAATTCATTCGAAGATTCTTTGGTCCACTCCCTATCAGTTCTTCCATGTCTGCAAAAGCACTTTCAGTGTGATAATGCTCCAACTGGACAACTTTTTTCCTTTGATGGTGCTCTAAGTTTTTTGGTATTAATATTTATGTCCCTGGCCACATGCGTTTAATTGTCTTTGATAACACTCCCATATAGGAAAAAAGATATCTTTTATTTTGGTGGGCCTCCAACTTAAAGTTAACTTTAAAATATTAATTCATCTTTTTCTGGACCTTCTCTTTTCTTACTATATATATATATATCAGTCCCGATCTCTTGGACCACAGGAGTCCAAGAGATTATGGTCACCCACCATTGGATATTAATCTAACGGTTCAAAAAAGTTTTTTAAAAGGAATGCAAGAGTAAGTGAACCGTTGAATTTACATCCAACGGTGAGTGACCACAAATCTCTTGAACCCCTGTAGTCCAAGAGATCAGGACTAATACATATATATTCATCTCTTTCTGGCACTTGGTTTTGTCGAAATTTACCTATGTTTACAAATTTGTCAATGTCATTTTTAGGGTTCTGTTCCCCCCGTCAATTGTGATTTCAACAAGAAATAATTGGTACCCGTCTAAGACTTTAGTTGCATACAACTGTGATTTAGGGACCCTCGAATCAAATAATACTTTTCAAGAGACAGTATATTAATCCATCATGGAATATATAAATGCCCTAGTTCACTAACTTAATCACTAGCTAGTTCTTAATTCCATCTTTCTGTTAACTTTCGACAAAATGAGTAGTATATCTGTGAGTGTGAATGGACAATGCCAAGTTCCCCCTGGCTTCAGATTTCAACCAACGGAAGAGGAGCTCTTGCTATATTACCTGAGGAAGAGGGTTTCATGTGAGAAGATCGATCTGGACGTAATTCGTGATATTGATCTCACTAAGCTTGAGCCATGGGACATTCGAGGTACGTAATGCATCTATATACATAGGGTTTAACCGTAATGGTCCTTAAACTTATACCCAAGTTTCGTTTTGGTTAATTTTGATTTGATTAAAAACACAAACCAAGTTATATGTAATGTGTTCTGTAGCAGAAAAATGCAAAATAGGAAGCTTTCCTCAAAATGACTGGTACTTGTTTAGCCACAAGGACAAGAAGTATCCTAGTGGGATGCGAACAAATCGGGCAACCATTGCTGGGTTTTGGAAGGCCACAGGGCGTGATAAGGTGATATACAGCAACGGTAGGCCAATTGGGTTGAGGAAAACTCTTGTGTTCTACAATGGCAGAGCTCCACATGGAGAAAGATCTGATTGGCTCATGCATGAATATAACCATATTGTAAGCCTTTTTGTCTTTCTAAATTCTTGATGAAAAAAGTATCCTAAGCGGCTTAGAAAGTCTAACTATTAGTTTCTTGTTTTGTCACTAACTTCAATCCGTGAAAATTGCACTTCTCATGATTGTTGTGATGTTGTTTGTGAATATGAATCAATGGTCAACTTGAGTGACTTGAATATAGGGTTACTAACTTGAATATGTTAAAATCGCCCGCTTCCCATAATTAACTTTTCAATGTGGGACACTCTCAACACGTCCCCACACGTGTGCCGAACTTTCAAGCATAACACGTGGACATGTGAGCACGTGTGGCCGTTGAGCCCAACATGTGAAGTCTTGCTCTGATACCATGAAGGAAGTTGAGGTTCCACCCCAAAACCAATTGGCCATGGGGGAGTAGCTCAACTCCCAACAGTCTTAACTTGTCATAATGTGAATCTAAATCAGTGATATGCTAGAGTAATAACAGATTACGAGTTAGTTAGCTCAGCTATTAGAAGAGTTAGCTGTTCATGTTCTTAGACTGTGAATAATTTCTTATTCGTATTTCCTCTTGCTTAACGTGATCAACTTGATTCTTACTTGAATGTATGATCTAAATTTACAAACAAATTAATGATTTGTAAAGAACATTGCTTTGCCTATAGAATATGAAAATGAAGTACCACTTTCTTACAACTTTTGCATATGATATGTTTTTGCTGTTATTGTTTTGTTTTTTTAAATCCAAGGTCTCCAATGCTATGGGAGGGGCAGCAACAGAGGAAGAGGGATGGGTGGTGTGTCACATATTCATCAAGAAAAAGAAGAACTTGAAAACCTTAAACAGCCCTAGCAATTCTTCCTTCAACTACATGGGAATTAATACAGGTCATATGTTGGATTCCTACTATGATGAAGGATCTTTGGAGCAAATGTTTCAGCAAGTGGAAAGGAATTGTAAAGAAGAGAATAAGGCAGAGGTGGTCAAATACAATACTAAACCCTTAATATACACCAGCAACCAGGTGATTGGAGCCCCTGATCCCAAGTCCTTGCATCAAATTGTCTCAGGGCTCACCAGTTGGGCAGCCTTTGATCGCCTAATTGCTTCCCAGCTCAATGGCCACACAGCTTAGTGCATCGATGATCATCATCGACTCCAATTGCCAAAACCAGGACGTCTTTAAGATCAAATCTTAATTATCATGCTCACCTGGCTAATACGGCAATGATTTGTGTGTACATACATACGTACAGATGTGTATGTGTACAACCACATATATAACGTATATCAAGACTCGAATGTTGGAACATAACCTAAATGTTGGATTTATTGAGTCAAAATGTGAACTATATTATTTTTCCAATATGTACCAGAAAAATGTTCTTCTAAAACTACAAGGGAAAACCCTAAGAAAGAAAAATTTCAGCCACCAGCCCCCTCTCATCCTCCCCTTCCGTCTCCTCCTTACCCTCCCAAACCTTTCCCTCCCCTATCCACTTTTGCTCCTCACTCATCCCCGCCAACACTGCTATCTTGGTTGAGTTTGGTGGTGCTTGGCTGTCTTGGTGATGACGTGGTGGCAAATCAACTTTTATTTACTTGTTTTATGTTACAGTATCTTTTGAGTTGTAATAAGTGTACCAACTCCTGAGTTTGTTGCATATTTGTTGTCTCTACTTCTATTTTATACTTGTGGGACTTAAAAGGTTGTAGTTGCAATTGTAGTTTGGTGCGCTAAGGTATATGTATGGTTTTTCCAAGCTTGTGAAATTTTGTAGGCTCGGTGTGGCTATGAGTAGAGGTACACCTTTTGTGCTTGTTGTTGCTGGTGAACTCCTTTGTGTTTGGATTAATCCTATGTGGTTATTTGTATTTGTATTAAGCAAATATATATATGGTTATTTGTATTTGTATTAAGCATATGTGGTTATTTGTATTTGTATTGGGCCTTGTGACTGACAGCCTTTAAGCTTGAATTATAAATGCAATATATTGCATTTTTTTCTCTTGAAAAAAGGTTATTTAGCAATATATAAATCATAGTAAACACCTTTTTTTTCTTTTCAACATTCATTGACTTAAATGTTCGAGATATTGGGTTTAGGGTTGGCTAGATTGAGGTTTGGGGTGCCAATGGGATCTATCTTAGTGGAAAAAAGCCTTGATTTGCACACTAATGGTGTCAAGTTTGAATTTCGATGACACCTTGGTAGTGTGTGTGTAAGAAACCTCCCTCCCCCTTATAGTTTAAACTATCATTTGTATTAAAAAATAATAATAATAATAATAATTTTTTAAAAAAAAAAAGGGGTTTGGGTTGTCATAATTTTAAAATTTGGACATGAAAAAAAAAAAAATTAAAGTTGCTTGGCCCACCCAAAGAGTCGATACATAGAATTCAAAGCCCAATCATAAAGTTGTATATTCCATTTTTCTCTCTCTTTACACATTTACAATCTTGTTCCCTTTATGGCATTCTGCTCAATGTCAATACCTTTTATAGTCTCCTCCCAACAAAGGTACGTGCCTTAATTTCTTAGCTAGATTGTTCATTTCTTTATGCTACCTGCCTCCATGTTTCTCTCTTCGTTCTCCCTCATCTCTCCCATATTCCGTTCCCATCTTCTTTTTTCTATCTTTAGCTAAGAAAAATAATACATGCAAATTAAAGACAAAACGGTTACTGAAAGCAAGGTATTTATATTATCCCGATAATATCGGTTTTTTGGGGGCCAATATTTTCGGTTATTGAAAGCAAGGTATTTATATTATCCCGATAATATCGGTTTTTTGGGGGGCCGATATTTTCGCAACTATCCATGGAGTTATTGATAATATCGGAGACGATAATTTCAACATTTTTATGAATGATTTGGGCAATATATCGCGATATGAAACCCAAAAAATACATGAATTTTTTTGAAAAGCCTCCCCTGTTGCGGATAGAGGGATTCGAACCCCTCCCCCTCTGTCAACAACCACAAAGCCTTATCCATCTCACTGAGGATGTGTTTGTGATTATATTTTCGGCGTGTAATATTTATAACGTCTTTAAAATGTCTGCAAGCTAACATTTATTATCTAGGATAAATTTCGATATTGAAAAAAACACCAAGGGGATTCGAACCCCTCCCATTTTACTCCTTCAACGCCTTCACAATATACTTACTCTACACATAGAGATGATGAAGATAGTGAAAATTTTGAACCTCATAGGAACTCTATGTGGTACTAAGTCACTCATGTATCTTACCATGCAATGTATAAAGTGTAAAATATTATAGTAATTCATTATATATAAATGATTATGGTGTGTTTAATCTTCTGTCATTAATTACTACATATTTTCTACACTTACAGTGTTTGTCAGCTCGCTATATAATCAACTTAAATCAGTTAAATCCATCATGCAATGCATTTCCTTCCAATTTTTTGTGATAAACTAATAGATAATTGACTAAATAAACATCCTGCAAAGTTTCAATAAAAATTTCCAAGTTTTTCTTACAATTTCCGTGGTTTTTATTCATTTTTATCGATATCGATAATATCCCGATATTTCCATCAACATTTCCGTTTTTTTGGACTACCGATATTTCCGATATCATCGATATTTTAGACCTTGACTGAAAGTGTGCCCTGACTTTTTCACTATTTGTCATTGTGTGGGGACTATGTAGCTCTATTATTAGTTAAGAGCGTCTTGAGACTTGGAGTCTAAATTTATTTTTTTCCTAATATCCTGTGATAAAACAAAGAAAAATGCTAGGCATACCACATTTTTATACCATAATGTGTACCACCTAGGGGTGGGCTCGGTTTGGGTTGGTTCGGTTTTGGGCTCAACCTGAACACTGAACTGTAGGCCTCTGTTTGGTTATTTTGGAAACCGAAACCAAACCATGATTGATGAAAACCGATCACTTCGGTTAATCGGACTTGTTGGATTGGTTTGGTTTGGTTTGGGTTTTTTGACTTTCTTAGAAAGAGAGAGAGAGAGAGGGAGAGAGAGAGAAGAAATAAAAGCGATGGAGAGAGGGAGAGATGAAGAGGAGAAGAAGAAAAAGAGGGAGAGATGGAAAAGAAGAAGAAGGAGGAGGAAAAAAAGAGAGGGAAACTATGTATTATATATATATATATATATATCTTATAATAATATTATATATAATATTTTTTTAATACCATCGGTTTGGTTTGGTTAAACCGTGGTTTTGAATATTGCAAACCGTACATCGAACCATATATTTTGGTTTGGTTTGGGTTCAAACCGGTGACCAAAAAAAATTGAAAAAAATCCAAACCAACCCAAACCATCGGTTTGGTTTGGGCAGTTTGACCGGGTTACCGGTTTGAATGCCCAGCCCTAGGTGAGACCCAGGCCTGTCACGCAAGCAATTAACTGAAATTTTGACAGTGAAGTTAATGCTGGAACCAAATTGCAAAAAATTAAAAAGTTTAAGGTATGTAATTGTTAAAATTGAGAGTGCATGAGCAAACATACCTCAAGGATATTGAATGCCCAGCCCTACCACCTCTCTAATAGAAGTGAGCCTCATTGAATTGGTGGGCTCTACCTCTATTAGAGAGTAGTACACAATGTGGTATAAAAATGTGGTATGCCTAGCAGTCATTAATTTTTTTAATCTTGCCACAAAAAAAAAATTCATTTTTTTAATAATAGTTAATGCTTTGTATTAAATATGCTTGTATAAGTGGCTGCTTATATTAAGTAATAGATAGCATTGGATGTTACATACCTAACATGAAAATAATTAGGCTAAGTGGGGTTTTGATTTTTATTTATTTATATTCAAGCGAGGGGGATTCGAATATGGGTGCAAGGAAGGCAGGCTCACTGCCCTAACCAACTGGTCTAACCCATGTCTATAGTGGGGTTTTGATTTTGAGTGTAGTTGTCATACCTTAATTTGAGTCTTGATTGTATTTATTTTTGTCGGCAAATATTTATTTGTTTAGTTCAATTGGTTACGTTTAATTGTGAACCCACTTGTATGACTTGTTTAATTATGACAATCTCATAAAAGTTCATTACCATTTATTTAATTAGGGCTCTTTTGGGATTGCTTATTTATGAAGCACTTCTACTCATAAGCGCTTTTATTATAAAAATGTTGAAATTTTCATAAGAAATCTAAGCGCTTCATTGAAAACCACTTTGGAGTGCTTCTCGAAGAAGCACATAGTAGGTACTCTCTAGAAAGCACTTTTATGACCCATAAGCACTTCTAAACTGTTTTGAGAAATGTTGTCAGAAGTACTTTTGGTTGTCAGAAAGTGCTTTTAGCCCTTTCGGAAGCACTCCCAAAAAGGCCCTTATGAAATAACTCATGGGAAATTGGTACTTAGGTGACAAGGGGTAAATTTAAATGCTATTCAAACAGACACAGCAATCTTTACACACTTTAAACCTTGACCAAATATACTTATGACTAGTCAACTATTAGTCATGTAAAACCATAACCAAGAACACACACACACAGAGCATAACAATATGCACCTGCAAGCCTAGAAGATTACTAGTGACAACCTAGGCACTCATAAGGACCCATCAATCTAGGCATCCCCTGTGCTACCAACAGCTATGGTGAAAGTGTGTGAAAACATCATAATCAAATAAACAACAAATAGCAGATAATGATGACTAGTCAAGCGTAAGAACACAAACCCAGAAATGCATGAACATCATGCGATGACTAGTCAACTATCAAGAATACAAACCTAGAAAATAATGAAGCTGCAAACCATAAATTGTTCACCTAGAAACCCACCACTGGGAAAAATTGGGGGTCATCAACCGACCAGGCAATCCACTAAATAAAGAAGATTCTTACAAAGAAACACAAGCAAGCTCAAGAAATCTTAGATATATTTAGGAAGATAAGCAATACCTTTGTGCAATCTTCTTCTCCAACTTAGCAATGCTAGCAGCTTAGTCCTTTATGGCAATGGCATCTCCTTCTTCAGCTCTTTCATCCCATGGCACCAGCTAGCCAGCTCAAACTCAGACGAAAACCGAAATTTGGATTCAAGGAAAATTGACCAATTTCTTCAAGAAACCATACTCTTGAAGAAACCAATCTTGAATCACACACATATGTTTTTCTTGTGTTTTTGATAAATCAATAAAACTAACACCAAGTTTCAGAGGGCAACAAAACTAACACGCTAAAAAAGGCACATTAAAGCAGGCACACCACCAATTACCCACATCACTACAGTTAAACATAATCTCAAATAGGCCAACGGGGTCCAATCCAATGAAAAATGGCTTTGACTTGCAGACCAGTGTGCTCATGTTCAAACCCTCATGGCACCTTGTTAGTCTGTGTGTGAGAACCCCACCTTCCCTTTGTAACACACCCAAAATTTCCAAAACCCTAAAATAACACATGAGCCTAAATGAACTCTACTGCCACCACCTGAAGAAGCGTCACCGTCAACCCCACCACCACATCTAGCATTTAAGCCAATGCAAAACCTCCAACGGATTTGGGAAAAACCATGTTTCCAATGATCCAACTGTACATGATAGTGAACGCCTATGTCAATTGCACAAACATGGCGAAAACCAATAAGGTAGATTGCAACAAACTCCTTCAAATGCGAGGTAGAATTAAATTTAGAGAAGATAAGAAGTTGTAAAGAGACTGTTTTAGGAGAATGATTTGATTGAGGAATTAGCCCAAAAGAGGTGATGGAGAACTTCAAATTGAGCATAACTTAGAAGAAATCACCATAAGGGGCTTCCTATTCAAAACGCCCTAATGGACTTATTCACTAACTCAAAAGAAAAAGGAAAGAGAATAGAAGAGAGAGGAGGAGGGACATTGACGCTTCTTCCTCCTCCCCTTTATTGAGTTTTTTTTTTCTTTGGGACTATCCAAAGCCTCATCTGCATTACACACATACGTTTACACATGCACTCTACAATGTAGTTTCATTTGAGGACTTAAAAGTTACATATCAGTAGTTATGTAAATTAAATATGAAGGAACAAGATGCATATAAAATATAGCAGCTAACATGTGCAATACCTCAATTTTTGGCATGTCATATGATATCTGTGGATTACACTAGATTGAATCTTACATCCATAAGTATCTTTTAAACGCGACCTAACCTTGATTGTGATTAAAGTGACGTAGCCCTATAAGCCTATGATTTGAGAGAGAGAGAGAGAGAGAGGAAGCAGGGAGAGTTTAGCTGTAAATTTATGAGTCTCCTAATTCCAAAGTATAAAGTGAGTAAACAAATCAAGTGGCATTGTTTTCTTAAGATGTTTTTGTCGGCAATATATTCTTTACAAGTTCTTAACTATTTATAGGAAAACAACTTTTAATAATTCAAGAATCAATGTGGGGTTAAAAAGGGTTCCCGATCACAGAAAGTGTTTATAAATGTAATTAACTCATGATCAATAGAATATATATATATAGGCTTTTTAGGAGCTATGGCCCCTGAATTTTGTACCCACTTGAGCTTTAGTCCCTCAACTTTCAAAATAGCTTCCATAGTCTTTCAACTCCACATTCGTTTGTAACAGAAGTCCTGGAGTAATTTCTGTTACTTTTTTCCATCAATATGAGGGGCAAATTGGTCATTTTCAGTGTTTAGGAAAAAAACCAGCATCTCAGCCTCCCCACGACGACCCACCAATAGTTGCGAAGCCAACATAGGGCCAGTGTGGTCCCAAGCCCCCACTCCACTTTTTACCTCTTTTGTTTGTATATTATATATGATATATAATATTATAATATATTGGATTAGTTTTAGGATATTTATCCTAAAATAAAATAATATATTAGGTTCTTTTTGTCTAAAAATTAACCATAAAATTTCTTGATCTCTCTTCTACTCGTCTCCCTTAAATTTTCTAGTTTATGATATTTGCATTAAAAACTCCTGGGCATGTTTGGTATGCCTCACTGGACTGGACTAGGTTAAATAGCACTCGAAACCCTTGTTTGGTAAGAGACGGGACTAACTTAAATGAGACTGTATAGTCCAATAATGAAAAAAAGGCCTCACTCGCTCGTCTAATACAGTGAGCCTGAAAAGTGGTTCGCTAAATAGCACGCTCGCTAAATAGAACACGTGATTCTGATGCCTCTCTTTAAAAAAATATCATAATTTTATTTGTTTTCTTTTAATTATTGTTTTCTTTTAATTATTGTTTTAGATCTTTGAATGAGTTTTTTTTTTTGCAGCATTTATTTATTTTAGATAAAAATCCTTAAAATATTACAATAATTATTTTGATATTGCATTTGGAAAACAAACTAGAGTAATTTACAAATGTTTGATATTTTTTTGATATTGAAACAAGTTTAACAACTATATTCTTCATCTATGATCTACAATTTTCAATATTTCACCTTCGATTTCTTGTTCTAAAATCGTGCTTCTATTCATATATTTTTTTTTGGATTGTTCGAAACCTCACACTACTACATTTTTCTATTTGCGCGACGATAGTTTGCGCGACGAAGGACAAATCGTCGCATAAAAGATCATAGCGCGACGGATAACCATATGCTTTTAGCTCTACTCCTCATCTTCGAGCTCTACTCCTCTTTCGCCATGTCGTCGTCGTCGTTGTCGTCATCATCGTCATCGTTGTTGTTGTCATTGTCATCGTTGTCGTCATCATCGTCATTTGGTTTGGACTTGAGATTTTTGATCTTTTGCTTCAATTAGGTGTTTCTCTTTGGATTTTAGTTGATTTTCGGAATGTATTTTAAGCTTTGATGATCGATTTATCTTTAGTTACTATTTGAGTTATGGATCTCATTTTGTTTAACAATGTACTTCTATGACATAATAGTAATAACAATCTGGGCTCGGCTTATTTTGAGTTGGTCTGGTTTGTTCTTTCTTAATCTTTTCTTTGGTGGACATGTATTAGAAATACCAACATGACAAGCATTAATCAACATGACAGTAAATTAACAGTGTTATTACCCTAGACTGGAACATTATAGGGGTAGACATGCATTAGAATTAGGATGTCATAGGAAATTAGCAGTGTTATTACCTAGACTGGAACAAGACTGGAACATTACAGGGATAGATATGCATTAGAAATAGGATGTCATAGTAAACTAGCAGTGTTATTACCCTAGACTGTAAGATTACAGGGGGAGACATGCATTAGAAATAGGATATCATAGGAAACTAGCAATGTTATTACCATAGACTGGAATATTACAGCCATTAATCAACATGATAGTAAACTAGCAGTGCTATTACCCTAGACTGGAACATTACAACCATTAATCAACATGACAGTAAAGGTGTGGAACATTACAGTAATTAATCAACATGATGCGTTAATGAAGCTATGATTTTCAAGATGTTTTGTTTGTAATGAATTGTTTGGATTTTTTTTATTTTATAAAATTGGGCTGGGCTTGTTTTGGGTGCCTTTTAAGTTTTTTGTGTTGGGCTTCTTTTAAGTTGATCAATGACAGTCACCTAATTTATAGAAACTTCAACACCAATTTCTTATGTAGTAAATGAGTTTTGGGTGCGTTTCTAATGTGCATTCCATATGAGGTTTTTTAAAATAATTTCAGCCCCTATTAGTGAAGCTCCCTATTCTCTCTCTCTCTCTCCTCAACCATCGACCGAGTCATTAACGGTGGAGGAGGCTCCATCGAACTCATCCTCAGATTGGATCGACGAGATTGAGACCATTCTAATGTTAGACAACGATGTTAACGACCTAGATCTCGTCGTCGGCGACAATGGCCTCGACCCAGAACTCGTCAGCGAAGGCATCATCTGCAATGCTTTTTTTTGTTGTTAAACCTGAGTTCATGATTCTTCACTGTTGGGATTGCTCCACGCTTACTTATTTAAGGTATATATTTCATAATAAAGTATCTATTTAAAGGAATAAAATAAAATAAAATTCGTTGGTTCATCAAATAAAGAGAGGTCCCGAGCTTCTTCTATGCTGTTCTTTTTTTCAATTAAAAATAATAATTAATTGGAATAAGTTTTAAGATCTTAAAAATAGGTTTGAAGTTGAATACCAAAAAAGTTTTTAGATCTTAAAATTTGTATTTGAAAACTTATGTTTTAAAAAAGAATCATGGTTTTTAAGTTCACTTTTTGAGCAGACGGGCCCTTATCCACTAGGATACACCACTTGCACGCCATCCCTCCAAACACCAAGGCATAGCATTGGAATTGGAAAGCCAAGCATACATTCATTTAATGCGTTAAACCGATGCTAACCCATATCATCATAATACAATGGATGCATAATTAATATACAATGTGAAAAATACACCACATGCATTACTTAGTTGTTGCGAAACCCGTAAGTCTTGCACATAGGAGGGACACGACAACGAACACTTTGCACCTCAACCATTAGCTTGTTCAGGATATCCTTAATTTTTTTGAAATCCCTCCTAGATCGGTCACGTTCTTCAAGGGCCACTTCTCGCTCTTTAATGGTCATCTCGTATGTGTCCAGCACAGCAGTGGGCAAAAGAGGCAACCTGCATGAACATGAGTACACATCCAAAATTAGACTTGAACAAGGTTAGGTCTTGCTCTTTCAAAGCATGATTGTATTGGCTATGAAGTCCTCAGCGTATCATAAAAGAGTATAATATTCACATCAATTGTAGATCTACAATTTTGTCTACCCCAATTTCCTTGATTTGTGTGGCATGCATGCTGTGCATTTCAGAGATATAGACATCAATTCTAGCATGTATATGGATTCTTGAACAGTCAACATATTAATTCACTTTCCAATTTGATTTACCAAACAAATCCAAAGGAAGTTGATACAAGAATTCAAAACCCACCAGCAAGCTGCAGATGACTCTTGACAAGGGAGCTAAATCAACCTGCATGGCCTCTCTAATCTGCTTTGGAGTAGCCACTGCACAACAAGAGAACACAAAATATGTGAAAAATTAGATAAATATAGAATATAAAATGACGAAAATGATATATATTGTACCAAAAAAAATTCGAAGAGACTTATTTTAGTGATATATAGAAAAAACAAATCCATTATTAGGTAATGGAAGAGATTTATTTTATATACATTCTTGATCACACCATCCTCAAAGGATTTATCTTTTAGTTTTTTTTTCTTTTCAAAACCCTAATAGAGTTGTCCTGCTTTGGGGCTATGGTTGAAAATCAGAATTTCGAAAAAGGACAACATAAACTGAGAATGTGGTAAAACAATAACCCTAACATCAAACTCTATATTTTACCTCTGGTAAATCATCGATTCGATATACTGATTTGATTTGAACCATTAGGCTCTTTGAGACCAACACCATCTTCCTATTCAGACCATCTTCTTCTTCTTCTCCTTGGGAATCATATTCCTCGTAAACCTTAACCATTCTAATATTCTCTATGGAAGCCTAGCTAAGACCTACTTAGAAATTAGAGGAGAAAAGATGGTGGCTTTGTGTACATATTAACCCAGTCTTATGTGCTTTTATAGATGAAGTGCACTGTTCTGTAGGGGTGGTTTGTGAAAACAAAGGGGCTTGAATCTGTGTGCCAATTTGGTATTATGTTGACAGGTTTGATTTTATCTGGTAAATGGTGGTTTTGTCAAGGATCTGCTTGCTTTGCAATCTGGGAAGGGCAGGTTTCCATTTTGGTTGACAGGTGCATTTTGGCCATATGTTTCCAGGTACATTAGTCACCATGATTAAATTTACAAAAGGAAGCAGGTGAGTCACTGATCTACTTCAACAAAAATTCTCAAAAACTTCAACAAAAATTGTATGAGAGAACTATTGTCTACAGTATTATTGTATAGAACTATATCAGAACTTCAACAAAAATTGCTAATTACCAGAATTATTGTATAAGAAGATGTTATGCTAATTCTTTTTACTATTGTTGTAGTAAATGACAGTACGAGGGTAACAACTACGTAAAACAGTACTCGCCATGGTAATGCCAGGCATAAATTAAGAAATGTGTGTACAACAACAATTGTGTTAATTTTTTTTTTATGTGTTTAGTAATAATTGGATTACTTCAAAATTTTAATTTTTCTGGATGAAAGTACGAGGGTAACAACTATGTACGGAACTTGTCAACATAACGGCGGTACTTGACAATTACGTAAGAAAGTAATAAATGTGCCTACGACAACAACTATAGCATTAAAATATCAAGGAGGGAGATTTCTCACACACACACACACACACAAAAATATGATGTCGTAGGGATTCAAACCAGAGACCTAAAAAAGCACTAAACTATGCAATAGCACTGTCATGCTAATATCGGGCAACTAATAATTGTGCCTACAACAACAATTGATAGATGATGTGTTTAGTAATAAGGTGTTTGTGCCTAATAAAACTCGGCCAAGAAAGCTGACCGAAGGAACAACAGCTCGGCCCTAGCGTCTATCCATGGCCAGGTCATCGTTCTTCCTTTTGTTAAAAACAAAAGTGAGTTATGATTCAAAGTCATCACGGCCTCGGTCACGGCCTCGGTAATACTGGCCGAGGACAAACTCCTCAGATACACGGCCAAAGTAGGAAAATCATGTGGCATCGCCACGTGGCATCATGGTCCCACGCTTTATTTAATGAAGTAGTGCCTCTGATCACAGCAGAAAGAACATGATCCACGTAGGAGCATTTAATGAGCCAAGAAAGAGGGGACGTGATTGAAGTCAGATATGGTGAGTAAAATCAGGGATTATGTGTGAAAATCCCATGATTTTGTAAGGCTAAGCCACCAACCATCAGACCAGGGCATTAAATGCCCCTCCAAGGCCCGAGATGCAGAGCCCGCCCCCAGGGCGGCAGCCGGGGTTTATGGGTGTCACACCACCATGCTTCACGTTCCCAAATGCCGACTCGACTGCCCACTAGCTCTGATCAACCTCACCATGCAGATTTTCAGCTTCATTGTCTCCTCAAGACATTCTCTATAAATAGCGAGCTCAAACTACATTTAAGGGGTTCAACACCAAACACAAGCCTCCCACGGAGCAGATTATATTTTCCTGTCATTTACTTCTTGTCATTTACGTTCGTGTAATGCCATTTCAATACATTTACTTGCTTTCTTAGGAGTAGTGGCAGTTTGTAGGAAAATCCGTTCATCAATATATCATACGACCCTTGATTTTCAAGGCGTCGGAGCACCATCTTTGTTACTCTTTCGTTCATCCCATATATCATACGACTGTCGCCACCCAGCGACGCGCCGGAGCACCACCTAAAACCACCATCAGCGCACCATCAGCGGCCTTGTAGCTCAGGCCGTGAACCTAACGGCCGAGATCAATTCCTCTCTCGGCCACAATCGCTTTGATTAAAAGTCAAATTCAAACAGGCGCATCATTCATCTATCAAACCAATCATATCACCCTCAAACGCACGGTAAACCGTGCTGGCACGCCCGCGCACAAACCATACAGCACCGAAAGAAGGACGACCTGTGTTGATGCAGATCCACGCGGCCCGGAGCACCAGGCCGTGAGATTTGCGAACGCTAACATAAGGGAGGATGTCAAAACCTTAACTTTTCTGGATGAATAAGATTTTATTTAAATAAAACAAAATAGGTAAGCCTAGCCATGCACAAACAAATATTTTGCAAAACTACCCTAAAAATCTTTCCCAGAAAGGAAATAAAGTTAAAAAGAAAAACCCCACCTAACCTAAATTTTTTTCATGTTAGGTGCATGCATAGCATCTAGTGTTATTTATTTCTTGGTATCCAGTATGATTTATTCCTTAATAGATATGCATCTTCGCATATAACCATTTCGAATACACAGCGTTCCTTTTTCATGAAAGTTAAAGACAATTTTGTTGTATCAAATAATTGGTTAGGTTAGCTTATATATGGGACTGAGTTCTTTTCAAAGAGACAAGTTTTTGTGCTTACTTGACAGTGTTATGTTTCTAGTCATCTGCACTGAAAAACTAATTACGCATATGTGCCCTGGTCACCTCAGTTTTAGCAACTCCGAAATTTAAATCCCTTCCACCCCAGTATCCTTTGTGTGATAACATAAATAATCATTCATTTTCGATTTTTGTTAATGTTTTTTATATATTAAATATGCATGCATAAATAGCTGTATATATTAAGAGATAAATATCATTGGATGCTTTACATATACATAACATGAAAATGGTTAGGTTAGGTTGGGTTCTGATTTTGAGACAATAAATCTGCCAAAAAAAGAGTAGATTGACATAGGTCCACCAAATGTGGAAGAACAACGAAGATCCAATGGGATCCAGGGTTTTCCTGGATTTGAAGCTCTCTCTCTCTCTCTCTCTCTCTCTCTGCGGCTAGAGTTTTTCTCTTGTGCTCTACTTACCACTTTTCATTCTTAGCATATTGTAGCCTTTCTTATTTTATTTTAGCTTTCTAAAGTTTGTTTGTTTGTTTATTAACTTGTGCACTGCACACTGTTTCCCTCCATCCCTTGAAAGAGGCATTTCTACTTCTTGCATATCAATTTGACACATACGCAAAAATAATTTGTCAACAATATAAAAAAAAAATCTCTGCATATATCAAATTGTGATTGATAGAAAAGTATGAGTTCCTACTTCCAAAAAATGACGCAAGTATTTTCCTTAACTTTTGAACCATATCCTTTCCAACCATTCTCACCTCACCCCAACAACAATATGAGTACCATATTTTTCAATGAACGTGGAAAAGTTACTCCTTTATATTAAATCGCATTCCATACTATAACAGTTGCCAAGCAAATTAACAAAATGGCAAACCAACCAATCCACTCTCTCCTCCACTACATAAGACAAAGCTTAGGACTTGATGAATAAGGCGAGCATGCACGTGACTGACCCGTCAATGGAAGTGCCCCGGTCCAATTACCTGGCGAAAACCTGAACTCGAATCGTGGCAGGCGGCCTCCAACTTCCTGAGCTCTGTCCTATACAACGAATACCTATACCAACCCAACATGTGGAGCTCAAACGTTACCCCTCCACGACCTCTTCCTTCTGAGATTTTTTTTGCCACATCACCGCTTAAGTGGCCTGACAGGGTTTCGATTCTGAATCTGTGAGTGGTCTCGGTCTTGGTGCTCAAAGCTGGGGGTGGCGCCACCGGCTTCGTTGCCAGCAAGACTCTGGCTTTGGCCTGGTCGCTGTCACTCGTTTCATACAAGATCGTGGCATGTAAGCTGTGGTAGGAGACGGTGAGCTTGTGGTTGGGGTTGACAGCAACTAGCGTGACGTCCCACTTGGCGGTGAATTCGAAGGCGGAAGCTTTGATGAGGGATACGGTGGCGGAGTGGAGGTGGAACTTGGGGTCTTCGGGTTTTATTTTGGCCTCCTTGACAATGCCGCAAACTATCAAGAAGACTAACCCGACGACAAGAATCGGGGTGCCACAGCAGATGATGACGAATACTGGCAACTCCCACTAGAGGTGTCAAACGGGCCGTGCCGGGCCGTCCCGTTTGACACCTCTACTCCCAAGTCACAACTGGCGTACCAGTCATTGCAGATACATCCATCATCGGCTTTCAGAAGAAGGACTTCATCGGGCTTGATCAGCCGCATAATGATGCCCTAGTAATCTGCATCCAAATTGAACAAGCTTCGAGCGAGTTCATGTGGACGAGGGCAGCACAGCCAATATCCTGCAACTATCTATTATCCAACAGATGGGATTGGAACCCAAGATCAGCAAACTTGCCAGATCGCTCACCGACTTCAATGAGGCCACGTCAATCATGGTTGGAATAATTGACCTAGACGTCCACTCACCCCCAGTGGTTTGCTCGCAAACCTTCATGGTCATCGATGAGGTCTCTCCCTACAATGGAATCTTGGGCCGACCATGGATCAACAAGATCAAAGCCATCACATCTACTCTACACCAGAAGATATGCTACCCCACCCCTGGGGGCGGGATCGGGCAGATCAACAGTGACCAGGCCATGGCGAGGAGATGCACAGCCCAAGGGCTCAAGAAGAGCAAGCAATTACAGTTCACACTAGTAATGCAAGCTACTGAAGTGGCATAACACACTCCCAGTAGACAAGCAAGCCCGAACAGGAGAGCAGTTGCTACCTCAAAATAGCAATTAAGGAGCCAGGATCAATGCGAGGGAATCCGCCCGGAAGACTCACCTGAAAAGGGTTGGAAGCCTGAGGATGACGTTGAGTTAGTACCCCTTGATCTTGGCCCGCTAGACAAAGAAGCGTAGATTGGCTCGTGCCAGAACCCAGACGAGAAGGATCGAGACAAGGGAATTCGCCCGAAAGGCTCCCTTGAAGAAGGTTGGAAGCCTGAGGAAGACGTTGAGTTAGTACCCCTTGCTCTTGGCCCGCTAGACAAAGAAGCGTAGATTGGCTCGTGCCAGAACCCAGACGAGAAGGATCGAGACAAGGGAATTCGCCCGAAAGGCTCCCTTGAAGAAGGTTGGAAGCCTGAGGAAGACGTTGAGTTAGTACCCCTCGATCCTGACCAGCCAGACAAAAAAGCACGGATCAGCTCGCGCCTAAGCTTAGACAAGAAGGTGGAGCTGACCACCTTCCTCCAGAACAACAAAGACATGTTCACGTGGTCGCCATCTTACATGCCTAGCATCGACCCAAATATCATCTGCCACCGACTTTATGTCAACCTCGCCAGCAAACCCGTGGTGCAGAAGAGACGCAACTTCGCTCCCGAGCGAGTCGCAATCATTGAAGCCAAGATCGATAAGCTTTTAGCTACTGGCTTCATTGAAGAGGTCTCCTACTCAGAATGGTTGGCCAACGTTGTTCTGGTGGCGAAACAAGAAAAGGGCAAGTGGAGAGTTTGCGTCGATTACACCGACCTCAACAAAGCTTGCCCTAAAGACAACTTCCCACTGCCGAGAATCGACCAGCTCGTGGATTCAACTTCCGGCAATCAGCTGTTCAGCTTCATGGACGCCTACTCAGGCTATAACCAAATCCTAATGTACGAGGATGACAAGGCGAAGACCTCTTTCATCATCGAGAGAGGGACCTACTGCTACAAGGTCATGCCCTTTGGGCTAAAGAATGCTGGTGCAACATACCAAAGGCTCGTGAATAAAATTTTCAAGGAGCAGATCGGCAAAACCATGGAGGTCTTCGTGGATGATATGCTGGTCAAAGCCATTAAGTGAGCAGACCACATTAAGAACCTTACTGAGGCATTCAACCTGCTTCACCAGTATCGCATGAAGTTGAATCCAAGTAAATGCATGTTCGGTGTATCGTTCGGCTGGTTCTTGGGATACCTAGTCACTCAACGAGGTATCGAGGCGCACCCATGCCAAATCAAAGCAATTCTCAAAATGAAGTCACCATCAACAGTAAAGGAAATCCAAAGTCTGACGGGCAGAGCAGAGGCCCTCAACTGATTCTTCTCGAGATCTACCCACAAATGTAGACCATTCTTCAAAGCTTTGAAGAAAGGACAAAAAGACAAATGGGACGAGGAGTGCGAAGAAGCTTTCCAGGATCTAAAGACTTACCTCAATTCACCTTCCCTGCTCTCAAAGCCAGTTCATGGTGAAGACTTGTTCGTGTACCTGGCAGTGTCCAACTTAGCCGTCAGCTAAACTCTCATCCGAGAAGAACTGGGGGCCCAACATCCGGTATTCTACACGTCAAAAGCCCTTCTTGATGCAGAGACTCGCTACTCGAAATTGGAGAAGCTCATTTTGGCCATTGTAGTTTCCGTGAGAAAGCTGCGACCCTACTACCAAGCTCACCGAGTCATCGTCATGACCGACTTTCCTTTGAGGTCGGTCCTCCACAGCCCTGACGCGTCTCAACGACTCATGAAGTGGGCTATAGAGCTAAGCCAATACAACCTCCTCTGTCAACCAAAAACTGCAATAAAAGCCCAGGCTTTAGCAGACTTTGTCGCAGAATTCATGTCATCGGCCGAAGAAGAGAAGCTGGTCAGCCAAAAAAGGGAAAGTTCGAGAGCAGACAAGACCTCCGCTGAAACTGACCAACCCAAAGACATGTGGCAGTTGCGCGTAGACGGAACGTCGAACCAAAAAGGAGCTGGAGCAGGCGTCATCATCATCGCCCCGGATGGAACCCTGTTAGAGCTAGCTATCACGCTTGGCTTCCCAGCCTCAAACAACGAGGCAGAATACGAGGCATAGCTCGCTGGCTTGCCCTTGGTGAAGGAGCTGTCAATCAAGAAGCTGGCCATCTACTCAGATTCCCAGTTGATCACAAATCAAGCCTCAGGAGAATACATGACGAAGCACCCAAGGATGATCTTGTATCTTGACAAAGTCCAGAAGTTGTTGAAGGCATTTCCTACCTTCACCATCCAACAAGTGCCTCAAGTAGAGAACGCGCACGCAGATGCACTGGCAAGCTTAGGATCAGCTCTTGATACCCAATTCAGACGCTCTATCCCGATCGAGCACCTTGACTAGCCAGGCATAGAAGAGGTAGAGCAGCCAAACCTGATGCAGATCGATCAGGATCCTAGCTGGCAAGACCCTGTCATTGACTACCAAGTTAACGAAAACTTATCCAAGGACAAGTCCGAGGCCAGAAAAATCAAACAGAAGGCTGCGAGATACTACATGAAAGGCGACATGCTTGTTCACAGATCATACTCCGGCCCTTATCTTACTTGCATCAATTACCCGCAGACACTCGAGGTTCTCTGCAAAATACATGACAGCGAATGTGGAAATCACGCTGGGGGCAGATCGCTTGCCCAGAAGGGTCTCAGCATAGGCTATTTCTAGCCTACCATGCACCAAGACTCCACGAAGTATGCTCGACGATGTGATCGATGCCAATGAAATAAACCAATCCCTGGCTTGACAGCTATGGAATACCATCCGCAGAACAGTCCTTGGCCATTCATGCAGTGGATCATTGACCTGGTGGGGCCTATGCCGACAGCACCTACCAAAAAGAAGATGATGATCGTTGCCACAGATTACTTCACCAAATGGATCGAGGCCGAGTCTTTATCTTCTACCAAGGAAGCTGATGTCAGCAGTCGATAGTCACCGACAATGGTACACAGTTCATGGGCAGGCAGATCACCGCATTCCTTGCGAAGTATGGCATCAAACAACACCTGTCAACTCCTAGATACCCTCAAGGCAATGGCCAAGCAGAGGCAACCAACAAGATCGTACTGGACTGCCTGAAGAAAAGATTGGAAGGTGCAGAAGGAAAATGGGTCGACGAGCTGCCATGAGTCTTATGGGCTTATCGCACCACCAAAAGGAGATCAACCGGCGAGACACCATTTTCTCTAGCCTATGGGACTGAAGCAATCATCCCCCCACACATCACGGTCCCTTCCATGAGCACTGAGTTGGGCAGTCTTGACCAAAACTGCAAGCAAATGAAAGTCAACCTTGATATGCTCGAAGAAGAACGAGAAGAGGCCATTGTTCGAGTTGCAGTCTATCAGCAGCAGCTGATGTCCTACTACAATAAGAAGGCCAATATCAGACAGTTTCAACCTGGGGACCTTGTGCTCAGAAAGAGCTTCATCACAGCACCAAGGCAAGGGTCAAAGAAGATGAAGCTCAACTGGGAAGGCCCCTACGTGATCAGCCGACCTGGGGGCAAAGGAAGTTACACCCTCGACACTCTAGAAGGAAAGGAAATTCTAAGACAATGGAATGCACACCACCTTCAGAGATACTATCCAGTAGGTGAGAGGAATGAGCGACCGTCGCCAACTTCCCCTTCCTATCTGCCGCTGACTTCCAGTACGTCCTTGCTCCCCACATGATCGCCCTGATTAACCAACTTCCCCTTCCTATCTGCCGCTGACTTCCAGTACGTCCTTGCTCCACACATGATCGCCCTGATTAAAACTGTCAAACAACTTCGGCTTACACATGCGAACTTGGGCATACTTATCTAAGCGTCTCACCTCGAAGAAGTAGAAGAATTCCCGAACAGTCAGACCTAGCTTGAAAAAGCGACTCAAATTCTCAAAGCAGATGATCGCCCGATAAACATTCGGAGTACACTGGCTCGGGGCACACTCCATGGCGCAGAACATATCCCTGAAAAATTTTGACAGCGAAAATGTGAAGAACATTGAAAAATAGAAGGGACGAAACGTGGTAATCCTGGCACCTGGATTGTTCGGATCCACACGAGGTACACAGTCAGCCGAAGACTCTGCCAACTTGACATGCACGTCCTTTGGAATGGCGGAATCAAAAAGTGCACGCCATGTCTTGAACTGGGCCTCGGTGGTGAAGCGATGCAAATTTGCCACAAACTTCTCTTTGGGCACTTGGGAACCACCCCACAAGTACAACAGCACTTGCAAGCTTGGTGATCGGCTTCTCCCTTCAGAAGACATGGTCGTTGAGCAGCTGCAAAAATAACGAAGAAAATTGCAAGTTAAAATTCATAGTTCGTGGCTTGACAAAAAAAAAACAGGGAAAAAAAAAGCAGCAAACAAAAAAAAAAGGAAAAAGAAACAGCAGCAACAAAAAAAAGAAGAAAAAGAGGTCCAGCAGGTGGAAGCCCAATCCGGAGA